GGCGGGTCGCTTGCAAGAACCTCACTTCCGCTTCCAAGATTCTCACTCTCAACAGGCTTCGGGCGAAGCTGGTTGCGGCTTGCCCCAACACGTCCAGCCAGGAATGACACGTGTTGATCAGGGGTGTCTCGTAGAGCTCCCACAAGGCTCGGGTCATAAGCACATGTGGTTCTCCTCACAGATCTAGCAACAACAAGACGGCCTGAAGAAGTGCACACGAGGTGGCAGTCCGAAACATCGGATTTGCCCAACCACATGGCTCTGAGCCACCGTGGTTTGCCCTTGGTTGCTGTCTTCACGCGGGCTAGGACACACTCTGCAAAGCGAACTAGTTTTCCCCCATAGGGCGCTGCATGAACTCTCTCCCAAGGTGTCAAGTTCTGAGTCACGCCAAAGCGCTGCAGGATCCAGCCTGCATGGCGCCAGCACCAATGGTGAAGGGGATCAAAGGTCTTGATCTTGACTTGCAGTTTGTCCTCCAGTTCAGCGAGGATCGTGCCAACAAGCTGACGGATGCGCTCAATAGCGCCCTCTGCGTGGTTGCTCTGATGCTCTCCTACAGAAGTTTGTTCAATGTGCGTTTCCATGCCAATCCGATGCCTGAGGGCTTGGATGGCATTGGCTAGGGCAGTGCAAGAAGGCTCAGGGTCGGCTCGCAAGGTGACCCGTCGATGACCTAAGTAGGACAGGAGCTTTGTTACCTCAACGGCCATAAAGTTCCGTGACGCTGTGCCACCCTTGCTCTGGACCGGCCACGCTTGCACCCACTTAGTCTCTGAATCATGGGCAACCAAACAGCACAACTTCTCATCCTTGTCGCTTCTGCTGGTATACGAGAAATCGAAGCAGAAGACGGAGCTAGCCCGCCTGTCATCAGTACGCAATTCATGTCTGTCAGAGCGTGCTCTAAAAGACACACAGTGCTCACACCACTCGCGGTACGGGGTGTGTGTTAGGCAGTGTCGGCGACGCTCTTCGTCGCTTGGTGCAGCGACGGGGCGCTGCTCGACTGGAACACGTTCCTCGGAATCTGCCAAATGCTGTCTTGCCTGGTGAGCAGCTATAAGACTTTGGCGAGTCAAGTGGTCCTTGATTCGCTTGAGCACGGTGGTTTTCCCGCCACTGCGGCCGAGGCCTAGTGACTGAGCTGCCTGTCTGAGGACTGCAAGGGTGGATACTGAGGGTCGTTCCATCGACCACAAGGCTTCCATCATCATCAACAGGTGTCTCATCATGCAGGGCTCCATCAACCTCTAGCTCAGCTTGCTGATCTGGCGGTGCTGCACCATGTTGTTGCTGCTCTGACTCCAACATGTCAGCATCTTCAGCCGGAGGGGTAGGAAGCGAGCCAGGACTGGGAGGCTCACCTCCACCATCACCAATCATTACACCAAGCTCCTCAGGAGGCACAACCCTGCGGGTCGCAAACACAATCATCTCGCGGCTTCCACCACCAGGCAGCAAGGCACTCAGCTCATCAACATTAACGATGCTCTCACACCACTCAAGAATTTCCCATTCATCTGAGTCTGGTGCTTTGACAATTGTTGTCCTGAAGCTGCAACCTTCTTGAGGCAAAGCCATCGTAATATCAACAAAGCGGTTACCGTATCCCTGCATGCCAAATACATCTGCACTGATCTGCACAAAGTAATCAGGCAGTGACAAGGTTCCGACGGTGCAAGTCAAGGCCCTCACGGTGGCAGGGTCCTGACGGATGACACGCACATAGAGCTTCGCTGCAAGGCTGTTTTGCTTCAGATACAGAGGGATGTTGATATCCCCACTCGGGCTGCGAAGACTCATGTTGCCATTCTCATTTTGCAAACTGAAACCTGCTCTATACAGCTTACCCACAGCAAGTAGCGGTGTGGTGATGTGAGGGGCAACCAAAAAGGTCTCGGTGAAGGAAGGCTGATTGCCGAAGTTGAGCTCGGCTCGTCTAGTTCCATGAACCATCAAGGGATTCCCTTGTGCATCCTGGAAGAACTCCACAGGGCTTCCAGAGCAAACTCCTGCCGTGCTAAGGCTTTGTGGTAGGCAAGAAGCGTCGGCACCTGAGTCAACAATGACTTCTGCGCACTCCGGATCATGCGCACACTGCCAGCACTGCTAACAGCAGGCTCGGCGACACACTGCTGACACATGCCCTTAGCATGCTCAGCCTCACTGACACACTGCTGACGCATGCCCTCAGCATGCTCAGTCTCATCACTTGCGTCACTCGGCGATGCATTGTGGGAAACACACCACCTCGACTGCAAAGTCCTTGCACAAACGCTTAATGCCTTGCAAACGGAACTAACAGCACCATCTGACTTCACCTCATCACCTTCATCACCAGAGTTGCACTGCTCACAAACATCACACTGTGACACCACACGAATCTCACCGGAGGATGCTGCATCATAGTCATCCAGGTTGTATGCGACACGTCTGACCTGGGCTTTAGCGGCAGACTGAGACTTTGCAGCAGGCTTTGGCTTAGGCACAGCATCGGTGGATGCTGACGCACCTCCATCAGTGGCTTCCTCAACCTGTCGAACGCGGCTCTGTCGGCAGTCTCGGGCAAAGTGGCCTTTGCGGCCACAGTTGTGGCAAGTTTTATTAGCAGCGGGATTAGGGTTCGAGCTGTAGGGCTTTGACTTATCCCCTTTCTTACCCTTGGTGTCACCTTTTCCCTTTTTGCCTTTATCGAACTTGCCTTTGGGCTTGCCCTTGCCGTCTTTACCACCTTTTTGCTTTCCTTTGGACAGCCTGTCGATCTCCATAGGAACAGCTTCGGATGAAGTCGGATGAAGCCGGGGCCGCGTTGATCAGCACACCTCCTTTGCCTTCTGTCAAGCCGTAAGCCGCTGCAACTGACGCTCCCCATTTCGACGAAGAGGCGTCGTAACGGGCAACCAGGCTGCGAAGCTCAGCATAGCTCCAAGAATCTTCCATGGTGAGATTCACGTGTTGACGGAGTTGCCCCGTCAAACACCGCAAAAGCGACACGACTCTCTGGTCATCTGACATGGCTTGCGATGCAATCGAGTCGTACTCGGCCATCGCCTGTTCAAGTCTAACAACCTGGGCTAGGAGTCCTTGCTTGCTGTCGAAAACAGGCCAGTTATGAATGGTCTGCATGAGCGCTAGAGCTCGGGTCCGGCTAGACGGGCGAAGTTCCAAAGAGATGAGGCGATAAGCCTCGTAGCCGTTGTTGTCGCTCACCGTCTTCAGCAGCCGCTTCAAGCGATCGTTGAGCAGCGAGGCTAACAGGCCATACATGATGCGCGACCTGTCCTTCTCAGCTTCTGTTAAAACCGAAAAGTCAACAACAGTTTTGGCATTGTCCTTCAGACGCTTGAAGTCAACCTGGAACGACTTGTCTAGGGTACCCAAATACTGTTCAAACTCCCAAGCCCAGGCTGGCCACTTCACCAGCTCTTCGTCCCGCGTCTGACACGAGAAGGAAGTGGGATGCTTCAACACTTTGCTGAGGTCCTTCGCTGCAAAACCTGAGGAAGACGAGGATTCACGGCCTTCCTGCTGGCTACGAAGAATTTCTGTCAACACCTGCTGATTCTGCTGCATACCTGTCAGGATCTCAACAAGACGCGCCTCACCTGCAGCAACTGACCCTGTAGGACTGTTCGCTGGACTCATGGGTGGAGGCACGGCTCCCTGATGGGCAGATGGAGTGTCGGTCATCACTCCCAATCGACCTCTGACCTAATGCTCTCGTCGCTGTCACTAAATAAATCTACCACCACTCCAGAAGGACCAAGATTTCTGCTGAAACTGGATGACTCAGCTCCACAATCTAACTGAAAATCCACTCCAGAAGGACCAAGATTTCTGTTGAAACTGGATGACTCAGCTTCACCTGACCTCTCACGCAAAATGCGCTGAGGCTCCACAGTCAAGATGCAAAAGGCAGCTGACACGAATGCTTCAAGCAAATCTTTGTCTACACTCAACAGTTTGCAGCCGTAAGCAAAGATCTCAACGGCAGTGCTGATCTCCTTCAACTCAGCTTGCTTCTTCTTTCTCGTGAGAATCTGACGTCTCTCGAAGCTCAAGAGGGACAACGAAGGAGTACAGGGCTTGCCAACCTGATACTCTATATACCACTCAATCACAGCTTTGCGAAGCTTGTCAAGAACCCTGGGCTCGTCCCACAACTCAACACACTGAGCTTGGGTTGCAAGAGGGGGTGGCGCCTCCGTACCTCTGACGCACACCGCTCACGCGGAAGCACAGGGCGCTATGGCTCCTTCTAGCGGCTCTATTGGCCAACCAGGGACTGCAGCCTACGGGCTCTTTCCAACTCACCCCAAGCAACACAAAGCAAAGAGAAACGATTCCCACTCTGGCTCCCGGAACGCAAACCCGAAAGCCTACACGTGTGACGAAGCCTCGGGCTTTCCCGTGGCTCCGCTACCATGAAAACTTTTCTCACTGATGAGCACAGCTGCAGTCGTACATGGCATGAGACATGACTGTTGAGCTACTGGGCAAAACGAGCATCCCACATGTAGAATAAATGACGTGTGAAAACACATGTAAATTGGCATGCTTCGGGGGACCAAAATCGTGATCACCCCGCCAAAGAATGGTTTGTCGCATCACAAAGCATGCTTTCCGAACGATTTGTGGGATCTCCTACAATGTACATGCCCAGCGCAAAACAGCCAACAAGCCTCACACCAGCAAGCACGGTTCAGCGCTCTTTGTTCTTGCCATGGGCGGACATACCGCACTCCAGGGCCGCCATCGTATTGATGGGCTTTGTACAAGCACGCATGCACCTCCTAACCTTTGACCTTCGGCACCTTTGTGGCACAAAGCCACGGCTTCTTGCACACTCCATAAGCTGCAAGGCTGTCACGATCATCAGTTGATGATCTTCAAAGGAGAGGTTACAAGCTTCTGGCGATTTGCATAATGTAGGCATTGAGCGATCTCTTCAAGATCCGCGTCTGTCAGTCGGCATTTCAAGAAATCTGTCAAGACGCTCGACGGGTAAAGTGGTACCAGTCGCAACTGCATCCACAAGAGTCATCATGAGCATTTCAAGAAATCACCAATAAATTCTATCATTCAAACACACATGCAAATATCAAGAATCCATCATTGTCATTGGGCTCATCCTTACGTGTCGTCATGTGCCTCTGGCTCTGGCAGCATCTGGCGATGCTGCCGAGTCTGCTGCCCTGGGAGATGAAGGAAATGGAACATGGTGGCCAACGTTCCAACATCATGAGCATCAGCAAGTTCACGAGTCCACTCTTGGCAGTAGTAGCACATGTTGAACCTTGCAGGATATTCATTCTGCATCTGGCGATGTGTGAGCCGCCTGATGCGACTTGCTTGCCTCAAGCCATGGCATACTGCACGAAGATGGAACCTGGTTCCACTAATCGGCGCGATCCAAACATCAGCATCATCCCTGATCTGAAGTGGCTCAAGAGGCAAAGCTGGCAGCACATCAGCAGCTGCAGCTTCTCCAACCGCTGCAAAGAGCTCAACAAGCTCTTGATTGCCATCGTCATCTGGACCATAGTCCCTTGGCTCTGAGTCAGGTTGCTCAGAGGAATCATCAGATTCAGGCGGCGTCTGTGGCGGCGTGATTCCAAGGATAGCTGCACGCTCACGCGGGTCGCGTGGTCCAAGGCTCATGTCGTCATCATCGTCTGAGGATGCGTCGTCGACTCCCTGAAGGGGCACACGGGGTTGCACCTCTTCAGGCAACTCTTCAAGCAAAGGTTGCTCGGCCTCCGTCGTCTCAAGCCTAACGAAACCACCCGCTTGGACTAAAACCCTAAAGGCACCTAGAACAACCTGTTGCAAGAGGGCTCGCACTGTCATGTTGGCAATGACACGGCCAACAGTGATTGCGATACCTGCCGTCACAGCAAAGAACATGAAGCTGATGCCTGGTTGGTTTCCTGCACTGGCTTCTGACTTCGTGAAGTCAGACTCTGGCATGAGCAGGGGCTCAAACTGCGCTCGATCATCAGCAACCGCAGCCTTGGTTCCAACCAGCTGAATCAGCATTGTAAGCAACTGCAGTGCCTCGGCATTTCCACGGCCTGTGCTTTTCACTGCACGAAGAAACTTCTTAGCCTGGTCACGGCGTCGCTGCTCCTCGAGCTCAGCAGCTCCAACCAAAGAAAAACCGTCACTGGCATCCCGGACGCCAATGATGTTGCTCAGGCAGCGTATGCGGGTACCTGACAATGACTTGGTAAACAAGTCTGCGGGGTTGGTTGAAGTAGGCACTGCATGGAGAGATGCTTTCTTCCACTTGAAAAGAAAATCCTGCAACCACAGAAGGCGACCAGAAATGCGGCGTAGGCGCCCACATCCTTGTCTAGACATGATCCCACGCGCAGCGCTTGAATCGGTGAAGACATGCATGCTCACATCCTCTTGCAAAACGTGCTGGAGGGCCGTGCGAAGAAGTATACCGTCACACACGGCACTGACGCAGGCTACGTACTCACTCTCCCCAGAGGAGAGGCTGATGCAGCTTTGGCTGCGCGAGAAACTGTGGATCATCATCCCGTTGAACGCGATACATCCAGCACTCGTGCTTTTGCGACTTGACTTGTTTCCTGCCCAGTCAGCATCTGCAAAGACCTCAAGAGCATGGGCCTCGTCGCGGACAACTAGGCCTACACCTTTTCCTTCAGTTTTCAAGCAAGAAATGTGGTTGTCATGATAGAACATGTAGTTCACCAAATGTCGTAAACATTTCCATGCCCCTTCATTAGGCTTTCCACACAAGCTGCTCAAGGTTTTGATTGCAAACTGGGCTGCGGGGTAGTCGCTGGAAACATACAAGAGCACTCCTATGCATTTCCGATAAATCCCTGACTTGGTCTCGTCAAGCAATGCAAGCTGTGTCCACAACGGAAGGGATCCACCTGTCGGGAGTGGACTATCCTTGGGACGTTGGGCACATACCCCTAGCAGCACTGCTAAACCTTCAACATGCTTGGGATTCGGAATGATGGCGAGGACGCCATCTTGCACCCATTGATGTTTCCTCTTGAGAAAACTGATGTCCTCATCAGCTCCTTGCAAGAATGCAATGGTGCACTTATACTTTGCTCTGACACAGTCGCCTAAGCGATGCATGGTGGGTCGTGCTCCAACTGCAAACAGGTCATCCACATGGCACAAACCCCCGCCTCCCCCGCCATTTCCCTCATCACTAGTTCCCGGGATGCGGAACAGGGCTGGTGCTTCGACAAGTGGGTCGATGGACAACTTCTCAATGAGGTAGGACTGGAATGAGTCAAACCAGTTCTTGGCTCCAGCCCGTTGGCCGGGGAGGTTTCTGAGGAGGCGATAGAATCTTTGCTCTCCTTGCACCCATATTGACACGATTGTACTGACAGTCTGGGGAACAGTCAAGTAAGCGTCTGCCACATCAAGTGACAGAGCAATCCAATGCTCATGTTGATGCGCAACCAAAATGGCTGGAAGTACGCGCAGGAGGGCATTGGAGGATGCAGGGGCGAAAACCTCACTATCAACCATATTGCTCAACCACTTGAATTCACGTGCCACAAATCTGGCACGGCGAAGAAACGCTTCACCACCTCCGGTCGGTGATGGCTTGATTCGCCAGCTTTTAACCATCTTGGTGCTGAGGCGCTTGTACCCGGAGAGGTCAGCACCTGCTGGTAGGCGCTCAAGCACGCCCATCGACTCAAGCCTGGAGAGCTCGAAGGATTCAGCAATGCCATCGATGAGGGCTAACTCATCTTTGGCAAGTTGAGGCTCACCGGCCCCGAACGGCCTCCAAAGCTCTTTCGGAATGTTACTGGCATCTTCGAAGTTTCCAGCCGAAGGCTGTTCAAGTGGCTCATCAACGACATCCTCAAGGTCTGCATTCGAACCCAACTCGAGGTCCTCTAGGCACACAACCTCATCACTGTGGTGATGGGCATTCACGGCACGAATCCTTTGGCGCTTTGACTCTGATCGATCATAATC